TAGGGGCATTGGGGACATGGGGGCGTTGGGGACATGGGAACTATTGTGGGAGCGGCCATGGGGACGCAGGGACTCCCAGGGAATGAGGAGAGGGACACGGGAACCACTAGGAACGTGGCCATGGGGACACGGGACCATGGGGATGTGGACAAGGGGACATGGAGACCACCAGGAATGTGGCCATGGGGACAAGGGGACAATGAGGGGCCACGGGGACCATGAGGGACACCAGGATTCTCACCAAGGGACGAGAAGGAACCTGGGTGGCCACGCCACAACCCAAGGGACACCCAAGGGGCCACCACAACGTCCCCAGAAGACCAAAACCCAACAGGTAGGAGCCCACAGAGAGCGATGGCACCAGGACACCCCCAAAGGCACCTCCACGTGTCCCCAACCTCAAGCTGGTGTCACCCCCCAGTTGTCCCCGCGCGGTACCTGCTGGGACGCGCTGGTCCCCGAGGCCGAGGACATGACGATGAACTTGGTGGGGGGCGGCGAGGGCTGCGTGGGGGTCCCCGGGCGCCCCGACACCAGGGTCTGCACGGGCAGCGTGATGGCGCTGGGCACCTTGATGATGCTGGGGGGCCGCGGGGGCCCCGTCTGGCCCTGCGGCGCCTGCGACAGCGTCAACGTGGGGCGCGGCTACGGAGGGGACACCGGGGACACGGTGAGGGTGGCACCTCGCGTGGGGCCGCACGTCCCTCCTGTGTCCCCAAGCCACCCAGGTGATGGTCAGCGTGTTAGGGTTGACCTGCTGGCCACCATCATGCAWGTCTCCATGTCACCACTGCGTCCCCAAGACACCCAGATGATGGTCAGCGTGGTGGGGTTAACCTGTTGGCCATCACTACGTGGGACTCCATGTCCCTCCTGGGTCCACAAGCCACCCACGTGATGGTCAGCGTGGTAGGGTTGACCAGTTGGCCATCACCATGTTGGTCTCCATGTCCCCATTGTGCCCCCAAGAGACCCAGGTGATGGTCACATTGGTGCAGTTGATCTTCTGGCCATCACCACAGGGGTGTCCATGTCCCTCTTGTGTCCCCAAGAACCCCAGAGGATGGTCAGCTCAGTAGGGTTGACCCGCTGGCCATGACTACATGGGTCTTTAACTCCCCACTGTGTCCCCAAGACCCCCAGGTGATGGTCAGCGTGATGGGGCTGACCTCTTGGCCATCACCATGTGGGTCTCCATGTCCCTCTTATGTCCACAAGACACCCCAAGGTGATGGTCACATTGGTGTGGTTGACCTGTTGGCCATCACCATGAAGGTCTCCGTGTCCCTTTCATGTCCACAAGACACCCCAGGCCATGGTCACATTGGTTCAGTTGACCTGTTGGACATCACAATGTAGGTCTTCATGTTCCTCTTGGGTCCACAAGCCCCCCGGATGATGGTCAGTGTAGTAGGGTTGATCTCTTAGCCATCACTACATGGGTCTTTTATCTCCCCACTGTGTCCCCAAGACCCCAAGGTGATGGTCAGCATGGCARAGTCGACCTGCTGGCCACCACAACGTGGGTGTCCATGTCCCTCCTGTGTCCCCAAGTCACCCAGATAATGGTCAGTAGAGTAGGGTTGACCTATTGGCCATCACTACATGGGTCTCCATGTCCTTCCTGTGTCCTCAAGTCACCCAGGTGATAGTCAGCATGGTGGGCTTGACCTGCTGGCCATCACTACATGGTTCTCCATGTCGCTACTGTGTCCCCAAGCCCTCCAAATCATGGTCAAGATGATACAGTTGACCCTCTGGCCATCACCACATGGGTGCAGAGCAGCAGGTCCTCGCTCTGTGTCCACCTATCCCTGCCTGCGCCCCATCCCATGTCCCCAGCATGTCCCCGAGTGTCCCCAGGCCCACCTGGGTGATGGTCAGCGTGGTGCGGTTGACCTGCTGGGCCTGCATGGCGGCCTGTGCCCGCGCCTTGACCACGTGGGTGCAGAGCAGGGCACCCAGGTACCCGAAGTCGCTCTTGTAGGAGTCCTGGTTGTCCGGGGGTGGGCGGATCTTGGCCAGCACCGGGGCGCAGTGTTTCTGTGGGGACAATGGCCATGGTGGCATCAGTGGCAGGGGCACGTGGTGGTTGGGGACAAGCATCCATGCTCATGTCACCCACGTCCTTGTGTCCCACCAACATCTGGGGGGTGTTGGACCCGAGCTCGTCAGTGTTGCCCACAAGGGTGGTCCCTTGTCCTGCCCCCGGGTCGTCCCTGATGTCCCCATGCCCCCCTGATCCCCCTGATGTCCCCATGTCCCCCCCAACGTCCCCATGTCCTCCTGATGTCCTCATGTCACCCCATGTCTCCCAGTCCCACCAGCAGCAGCAGCTGGGGGGAGTTGGACCCAAGGTGGCCCCTTGACCTGCCCACATGTCCCCCCTGGTGTCCCCATGTCCCTCCAATGTCCCCATGTCCCCCCTGATGTCCCCATGTCCCCAGGTCCCAGCAGCAGCAGCATCTGGATGTGGCTGCCCCCAATCTTGCTGATGTTGCCACCATGTCCCCCACGTCCCTCCCGTGTCCCCTCAGGGTCTCCGTGTCCCTAAATCCCACCAGGAGCAGGGTCTGGAGACGTGACCAATCTCCATCTGGTCGGTGACTCCATGTCCATCACCTCACATCCCCGTGTCCTCTCAAAGTCCCCAAGTGCCACCAGAAGCAACGTCTGAAAACGGACGCTCTCCACGTGCTCAACGCTACCGATCCTCCCGCGCGTCCTCTTCCCATGTCCCCTGTGTCCCCTTCCCACGTCCCCCGTGTCCTCTGTGTCCCCAGGTCCCACCAGGAGCAGGGTCTGGACGTGGTCGGCCCCGATCTTGTCGATGTTGCTGACGACGGGACCCTCCAGGATGCTCCGCACCCGCTCGCCCTCCACTTGGAGCCGGGGCAGGATCAGCGTCTTGATGACCTGGGGACAACGGGAGACATCGAGGGGACATTGAGAGGACATCAAGAGGACATCAGGAGGACATCATGGGGGACATAAGGGACACACTGTGAGCAGAAACCCAGTGCCATGAGGACAACAGGGACCCACAGGAGMCTGTGATGGGACACGGGGGACGTGTGTGGGGACACACGATGGGGACGCGGTGCCACCAGGGGAGGGGACACACTGGGGACACTCACGTCATGGCCCAGCTCGGCCAGCCCCGCGATGGAGCCGTAGCGGGTGGTCCAGGGGGTCTTCTCGTCCACCCAGCTCTGGGGCAGAAGAAGGGGGGAGATGGTCCCAAATCCCCTCCTTCTGTCCCCAAATCCCCCCTTCTGTCCCCAAATCCCCACTTATTGTCCCCAAATTGTCCCCAAACCCCCAGCCTTGTCCCCAGTCCTGCCCCATAGCCCCTGTCTTGCTCCCAATCTCTTCTTCTCAACCCCATCTCCGAACTCTGCCCCTCAAATGGTTGGCCCTGCCCCATGGCCCTGCCCCATGGACCTGCTCTGGTCCCAAACCTAGACATGAGGCTCAATCCTGACCCCAAATCCAACCACAGGGCACCACCCCAACCTCAAACCCCATCATGGAGAACCACCCCAACCCCAAACCCAAGCAGGAGGCTCCATTCCATCACCAAACCCAACCATGAGGAACCACCTCAATCTCAAACCCAGTCATGGGACTCCATCCCACCTCAAATCCAACCATGGAGCATCCGCCCAACCTCAAACCCAACCAGAGGACTCCAACTCGACCCCAAACCCAACCATAGGGCTCCATCCTGACCCAAACTCAACCACAGGGCACCACCCTAACCCCAAACCCCACCGTGGRGCTCCAYCCCAACCCCAAACCCAACCAGGAGGCTCCATCCCAACCATGGAGAACCATCCCATCCCCAAACCCAACCATGGAGCATCCACTCAACCCCAAACCCGACCACAGGGAACCACCCCAACCCCAAACCCAACCAGGAGGCTCCATCCCAACCATGGGGCTCCATCCCAACCCCAAACCCAACCAGGAGGCTCCAACCCA